TAAAATTACGCCGATGATCTCGTATTTTTCGTACATGGTTCATTTCTTGTCAATTTTGTCAAACCTCTCGATGGACAGGCTTTCTTAAGTTCTTTCGCCGTTCCTTATGAAAACACTTTGTCTTTGTGACACGGTGTCTGACAAAATGAGGTAGAGTCACGATGAATCCAAATCATCAACGATCTCTTCCATATTTGGTCTCGCCTCAGGGTCCTCCTGAATACAGCGTCGTATGAGGCCTCGAAACACGTGATTCGTCACCAGGGCTACTTGCTCCTCACGCTGTTTGGGATCAGGCAATTCCCGGATGCACATTTCACAGAGGAGAACACCAAAACTGTACACATCGATCTGTTGACAGCAACAGAAAATGTTACCAATAGTCAATCAATCACTCTCATATGAATGTCACCTTATTACTCTAGATTGAGTAAGCCACTTGCCAAGATACTCGAGTTTCAAATTGTCTCTCTATTCTGAGGGGGGAGGAGGGCTAGTAATAATACTATAGTGAAGATATTACAATTTATTGTACTAATGGTCATTTATACCCAGTTTATGAGACCAAGATTGGATGTCAGCTTGTAAAGGAGCCCCTGGTTTCTACTAACAGTTCATTAATGATCTCATTTTGTTCATCCAAAAGTAAAGATCACCAGGAGACAGCAGTTTTTTATTTCTACTGTCTTTGCTGTGTGGGAGGTGCGGTGGCCCCCTGAATAGCGTGCTCAACTCCAGAACGAGCAGCTGGGATGCGAGCCCTGCCTGCAAACATTGTGTTGCGTTCTTGGGTAAGACACTTCACACTCACAGTGCCTCTCTGCACCCAGGTGTATAAATGGGTACCAGTGCATTTAATGCTGTATTTAACGCTGGCTGCAGAAATCAGAGTTAAAGGCTGGTCTGATGGGCCACTCGGCTCGTATGCAGACTTTATAACTTTACCTTTGCTGTGACAATGAATAACTACTTATTAACAGAGAGTGAGGCGATATGAAAATGTCAAACCAAGACCTTGCCGTATTGACCAAGCGATAGCGAGGTCAATACGGTGAGGTAGAGGTTTGAGATTTTCCTGTAAAGACAGAATGTTTGAGGTTAATAAGTTGTGTTATTATTAATACATGGCTTTTTGCAGGTCCGTAATCAGTCTGTGGGCATTCTGAGAGAATAATGCCATAGAATGAGCCCACCAGAGTGCATTTTCTATCGGCTACAAATACATTTAATAAATTATTTTAATGCTGGAATAATTTTATGTTATACAAGGAACAGGATTATCAGTGGTAGCACATGTCGGTAACCGTCTCTGATGTTTCCCTGAGGAGAGCAGGCTGTTGTACGCAGGACAAGCTACATCAGTCTGGGGCCACATCTCTAGCATAGGAGAAAAATTGCGTGTGCATACCATTAGAGATACCTCTATACTCAGACAATACTAGAAGAAAGAAGTGTTAGTTATATATCAACTTCACCTTGACTGTTTGATTTGTAGTGAGTGCTTCCGGTGAACTGTAAATCATAGCTCCAGGGGCGATTGTCATGGTCTGTTGCATGAAATTAGCAGTACCATAGTCAGACACTTTGCCTCTCCATTGGTCACCATGTCGCCATAGCAACACATTAGCACTACTGATGTCCCGAT